TTCATCAACAAGTGCTTCAAGTCCTTTGCAGTTTCAGGAAGCAAGGCCATGTATTAGCACTCTGTGATTAGTTGTAACTTCACTGTTTATAGGTGCCCTGGTGGCATAGTGGTTAGACATCGGGCTGCTAGCTGCAAGGTCAGCAGTTCAAAACCATCAGTTGTTCTGCAGGAGAAAGACGAGGCTTTCTACTCCCATAAATAGTTAGAGTCTCTGAAACCCACAGGAGCAGTTCTACCCTGTCCTATAGGGTCACTATAAGCCAGAATCAGCCAGTGAGTTAAAGGTGAGTCATTGTTTTATAATTATTCATTCTTCTTGGTCTTAAAGCAATCCCTGAAGTGCAAGGAATCACTCACATTAGTGCAGGGGGAAACTGTTACGTGGAGGTGCATTTGCTCAGAATGCTCCTTAATTAAATCAAAGCGATGGAGAACAAAGGCATGAGTTAAGGATGAGGTTGTTTAATACCGTGTTACTGCTGGAAAAATAACATGCTGCCCTGTGGGAGGTATTGCTGTAGTTAACCCACGCCGCTTACTGCCACATGCTTTCCACAGTCACTCTCTCATTAAGCCAACAGTAATTACTGAGCAAACTGCAGGAGAATACTTACAGGGCCACACCCCTGGACTGGAGTGTCATCTTACACAACTATCCCTGTTTGTCTCTTTATGATTCATTTTGTCCATCTGTGGAAGGGGGCGTTTGAGGAACTTGAGAGGATTAGCAAAGGCAAAATACAACTTCCTATATCAAATGTTTTCCAAATATATTCAGATCCCTAAAATAAAAAGAGAACCAACAACATGGTGGAAATTATTTTTTAAACTTTTCAATAATTGTTAATATCATCTATAAAAAAATACTACTGAGTGGAAAAATTGCAATTTCTCCTCCTTTACAACAATAGCTAGATATGACTCAACATCATAACTATAAAATGTGTCTGATGACAATAATAAATTAAAATTACCTTTTATTTATGACCTAACTATAGGCTATCTGGCACCCATGGCCGAGGCATCTGTAAAGTGTCACTCTGCTAGAAATACTTTGTTTATTGTGTTGTTTTTTTAAATCAGTTTACTGGGGGCTCATACAACTCTTATCACAATCAATACAACATCCATTGTGTCAAGCACATGTGTACATTTGTTGCCGTCATCATTCTCAAAACATTTGCTTTTTACTTGAGCCCTTAGTATCAACTCATTTTCCCCCTCCCTCCCTGCTGCCCCCTCCCTCCTGAACCCTTGATAATTTATAAATTATTATTATTTTGTCATATCTTA